CTTTCTCTGTGCCCCTCCCCTGCTGGTATACTCTCTCTAAAAAAAAAGACTAGCGAAAGAAAACAACAGAGATTAGAGTACAGATAAATAAAACATAGAGTAGAAAAATAATAGAATCAAGAAATCAAAAAGTTGGTTCTTTGAAAATATCAACAAAAAAAAGATCAACAAATCTTTAGGTAGTGATGAAGAAAAAAAGGGAGAGAACACATAACAAAAACCAGAATTGAAAGTGCAGACATTACTAATGATGATAGAAAAATAAAAACGAATACAAGATTATAACAATTGTATGCCAACAAACTAGATGAAATGGACAAACTAGAAACATACAAATTACCTAAAGTGATTCAAGAAGAAATAGAAAATCTCAACAGATCTACAAAAGATCAAAATAGTAACCAAAAACCTCCCAAGGAAGTCCAGTACCAGATAGTTTCACTGGTGGATGCTACCAAACATTTATTTATTTTTAATTTATACTTTTTAAAGTTTTTTTGAGAGAGTATACAAGTGGGGGAGGGACAGAGAGAGAAGGAGAGAATCCCACTGATGGTGTAGAGCCTGATACGGGGCTCAAACTCACGAACTGTGAGATCATGACCTGAGCCAAAGTCAGATGCTTAAGTGACTGAGCCACCCAGACACCCCTCTACCAAACACTTAAAGCAGAATGAATACCAACCCTTCGCAAACTCTTCCAAAAACCAGAAGACAAGGGAACACTTCCTAAGTCATTATATGGGGCCAGAACTACCCCAATAACAAAGCTAGATGAAGACATCACAAGAAAACTATATGCCAACATTCGTTGACTGTAGATGTAAAAATCCTCGACAAAATATTAGCAAACCAACTCTAACAACGTATTAAAATTATTATATACTATGACCAAGTGGTATTTACCCCAGAATAGTACTGCAAAGTTTTTGAAAACTGAACTGCCACTGGAGTCACAGTCCAATGGTAGGTAGGATACTGTGGCCTGAATCTAACCAGTTGATTGCCTGCTTAAAAAAACAAACAACAACAACTAAAAACCAATGCTCTCTATAGGAATTAAGTAAATCCAGAGTTCATAGCATAATATTCAAAATGTCCAAAATAAGGGGAGCCTGGGTGGCGCAGCCGGTTAAGCGTCCGACTTCAGCCAGGTCACGATCTCGCGGTCCGTGAGTTCGAGCCCCGCATCGGGCTCTGGGCTGATGGCTCAGAGCCTGGAGCCTGTTTCCGATTCTGTGTCTCCCTCTCTCTCTGCCCCTCCCCCGTTCATGCTCTGTCTCTCTCTGTCCCAAAAATAAATAAAAACGTTGAAAAAATAAAATAAAATAAAAAAATGTCCAAAATACAATAATTACTTGACATATTAAGAGATGGAAAAATCTGGGGCACCTGGGTGGGTCAGCTGGTTAAGCATTCAACTCTTGATTTCAGCTCAGGTCATGATCTTGTGGTTCATGGTATCAAGCCCCATGTTGGGCTCTGTGCTGAATAGCACAGGATCTGCTTGGGATTCTCTCTCTCCCTTGCTCTCTGCCCCTCCCCCACTCATATGTGCTCTCTCTCTCTCAAACATTTAAAAAAAATGTTAAAAGAAACAGAAAAATCTCAAAATTTCATGAGAGAAAAGACAATGAATAAACAACCCTAAATATAACAACAAATGTTAGATGATTAGACAGAAACTTTAAAGAGAATATTATAGCCATGCTCTAAGAATAAGTGAAATAATTGGAATGATAGAAAGTCTCACTGGAGAAATAGAAAATATTTTTAAAAATCAGATGGAAATTTTAGAACTGAATACAATAACCAAAATAAAAAATCTCACTGGATGTGCTTAATAACAGAATGGAAATGACAGAACAAGGAGTTCGTGAACTTGAAGACAAATCAAAAGAAATTATCCAGTCTCAGAAGACATGAATAGATACTTTTCCAAAGAAGACATCCAAATGGCCAACAGACATATGAAAAGATGCTCAACATCATTCATCCTCAGGGAAATACAAGTCAAAACCACAATGAGATACCACCTCACACCTGTCAGAATGGCTAAAATTACAACTCACGAAACAACAGATGTTGGCAAGGATGTGGAGAAACAGGAACCCCTTTGCAAGGAATGCAAACTGGTGCAGCCACTCTGGAAAACAGTATGGTGGTTCCTCAAAAAATTAAAAATAGAACTGTTCTATGACCCAGCAATTGTACTACTAGGTATTTACCCAAAGGATACAAAAATGCTGATTCATAGGGGCACATGCACCCCAATGTTTACAGCAGCACTATCAACAACAGCCAAATTATGGAAAGAGCCCAAATGTCCATCAACTGATAAATGGATAAAGACGATGTGGTATATATATATATACAATGGAATACTACTCAGTGATCAAAAAGAATGAAATCTTGCCATTTGCAATGACATGGATGGAAGTAGAGTATACTATGCTAAGCAAAATAAGTCAGAGAAAGACAAATATATGATTTCATTCATAGGTGGAATTTAGGAAACAAAACAGATGAACACAGGGGAAGGGAAGGAAAATAAGATAAAAACAGAGAGAGAGGCAAACCATAACAGACTCTTAGATACAGAGAACAAACTCAGGGTTGCTAGAGGGAGATGGGTGGGGGGATAGGCTAAATGAGTGATGAGCATTAAGGAGGGCACTTGTAGGGATGAGCACTGGGTGTTATATGTACGTGATGAATCACTGGTTCCTACTCCTGAAACCAACACTACACTGTATGTTAATTAACTTGAATTTAAATAAATTGTTTAAATATAAATGTTTAAATAAAGTAAATTTAAAAAGTATCCAATTTCAACAAAAAAAGAGTCATAAGATTGAAAGAAGAAGAAGAAGAAGAAGAAGAAGAACAACAACAACAACAACAACAACAACAACAACAGAGACTCCAGAACTTTAGAGACAATACCAAAAGAATACTTGTATCACTGGATTCCCACAAAGTATGGAGTGAGAGTGTGGCACAAAAACTTCTTGAAGAAATGATGGCCGACAACTTCCTCAAATAAGCAAAAGACACAAATTTACAGATTCAAGAAATTCAGTAAATTTCTAACAGAAGAAGCAAAGAAATCATACTCGGGTACATCCTAATCAAATTTCTTAACACTGAAGATGAAGAAAAAAA